TTTCCTAATTTCCATCTTGGGCTATATTTTCTTACATTTTTCATTTATTGGGGGGAGTACCATACACCCCAAAAAATTGCAATAATCATAGCAATTGCTTAACAGATCCTTAAAGATCCAAACATTTCATCATAACCAAAGACACCATAAGGCTGCAAAATGTCATACAACACAAAATTGTGCATCCACTGTAGATGCTGAATAAAATGAAGACATAAGATCCTCAGCAGTTTGTGAGCAAATTCTTTGCACCAGAATGTTCAGATAATTTGTTCAATACATATATGGAAAGCAAGAGTCTTGGACTGATCATTATTATTTAAATTAAATAACGAAAAAAAAAATATTGATAAACAATTATTGTAAACATAATAGCAAAACATATTACAATTATTAAAATTGACAAATGGAAATCGTAACAAGTAATATGAAGTAAAATAATAGAAAATTTATAATAATATTAAAATAAATTATAAATTTAAGTCATGATGACCAAATATAGTTACAAAACTTCGGAAAAGATAAAACAATTTTACAATAGTAATAAAAACAGTTAAACATATAATTTAGTTTGTATATGTGTAGCGGATTTTCAATCCGGTCCATATACATAAAAACTTATTAAATCAGTCTCTATAAGTATAAACATTATCCATTTGTGAGAATACTTATATTGTATGTATAGTATAAATACACAAGTATGAAAGCATGCTTTGATGAAGTCAAGTCAATGGTTAGTTGTATATCCTTATGGAAGGAAACTTTCATAATTCTCAAACAAGTTGATTTGTTGTTTGATGTATACCACCAAAATTCTAAAATTATGTGGATGTCACAAAACAGCTGAGTAGAACACCAGAAAGAAGCTGAAACATGAGAACACGACCCCAACCCAAAGCAAATTTCAGGGTTAAGGGATACTCAGGAAATGTGTGCATTGTGCTTCCTTCTACATTCAAAAAATGCATGCCTAAATGTTAGAAGAAAGTCATAATCAAGCATACCTGTTCACATTCCTTCCTAGAGAAGCAATAAACAATCCCTGATTCATTATTTGGATAAGATTCTTGAATGAATTGTGCAATTTCATCAATGACCACCTTTCCAACAGAGGACTTTTCCTTTACCTGCAAAATGAAGTATGAAATTCCTTTAAACTTTACAATAAAGTGAAGAATTTAACTTGGGGAGGGGTCATCTGTATAAAAGTAAAAAAAAAAAAAAAAAAAAACTATAATGGATAATTAGCTACGAATGTACCATATAAAACAAATTTGGCCTATTGACTGTGCTGACAAATTTGACACATCTAGGAATATGCAACATGTCTATCAGATCATTTTGGACCCTCTGGGTAGCAGTTGCCTGACAAATAAATGTCATTTAACATAAATCAAAATTAAGTATGAAAAGCATATTCAAATCTAATAATTTTATTTGGAATACTTAACAGAAACTTGAGATGAAAACTTACAGTCAAAGCAACCATAGGAACATTAGGGAACTGTGTCTTGAGAATACCAAGGCTCTTGTAGTCAGGACGAAAGTCATGGCCCCACTGACTACAGCAATGTGCTTCCTGCAATGCAAACAAACCAGAAATTATATTGGCATACAACCATCGCAACATTGTTATATCTCAACCATGTTCTTATCAGGTCTTCTAAACCACAAAACAAACACAAAAGATGAGTGACTAACAATCCAAAATTTCACAATGTTGTCGTTGTTGATAATCAGAATTTCACAATCTACAATGAATTGATCCCCAATTGCATTTCGTCAAAACAGGTTAATAAACCAGCTAATGAAGCAAAATAAAAAAAAATGTTCCCTGAACAATTCTGCACTAATTCTTAATATCAACAAGTCAACAACCAATGACATTTATGAAAAAGATGAATTTGACAAGCTTAATTAAAAAAAGTTTATAGTGCATATCAATATGAACTCACATCAATTGAAATTAGAGAGAGACGACCAGCATGATGACATTTTTCAAGTTTTGACATAAACCTCTTGCTTTTTGATATCTTTTCTGGAGTGACATACAATACTTTTAGGTCCCCCTCTCCCTTCTCCAAAGCCTTGTATATGAACTTCTCATCTCCCTTATTTGTTGAAGTCAACATATATGCAGGAATGCCCAAAGCAGTCAAACCCATTACCTGAAGTAATCCCCACCCACCCAGGGGAATAAAGAAGGCAGCAAATAACCCTTTAAATTATAAAACAAAATCATTGACCATAAATTTGTACTGGATCTTAACAAAATGAAATGCACCTGATCTTGAATTAAGGAAAGCAAAGGGCTGACAACTAGAGCAATTCCATCACGAAGAACAGCAGGAAGCTGATAGCAGAGGCTCTTGCCACCACCTGAAGCCATAATAACCAGAACATCTCTTCCACTCATGATGGCATTAATTATCTGTCATCAACATTACCTGTTAACAAAATTTTACCCAAAAGCCATAATCCCTATATATAGAAAAAAATATATTTGCAAAGTAAGATGTTGATTGTTTGGTCATCAGTATGCTCATGACAGCACTGGAAAACAGAAAGAATACAATACCCTTTAGAAAGCAAATCGTGTCTAAAAGTTGAGAGAAATAAAAAACAAAGCACTTTAAAATAGATAAACACATTACCACAAAGAAACTAAGGAACTAACCATTATGAAACATAAATCAGGTAAATAACCTGCCAGACTTAATATCCCTACTTGAAAACATTTTAAAGCCTGATTTTTTAACTAATCAATAACATACAGCATTAAGCTTGAAGGCTTGAAACCAAAAGGCAAGGTTTGGAACAAACTGGAACTCCAACTGGCAGTGCAAAATTTAGAAATAAAAAAAAATACAACATTTGATAATAAGCTTACCCTGCATGAAGTGATGAAATACAACCCTTTACTGTGACATCCCACTTCTTTTCTCAGAATTAAAAGAAACAACAAATTACTTTGACACCTCTTGAAGCAATTTTTTTTCCTCAATGCCCCCCTGACCTCCTTTTTTACTAATACATTAACCTCCTTAATTGTTTGAAAACATTACACTGACACCCCTTATGCATTACAATAACTTTCTTAATTTATAAAAAAAAAAAAAATACACTGAGCATTGGGTACAGGGAGATTGCTTAAAAAAGAACAGGAGTATGCATTCTCAAAAAACCACAGGGGTGTGAGGGTATTATACGATAAGGAAATGGAGAGAGAAGAAGAATGTACAATCCTCACCTTCAGTTCAGTTCAGACCAAAACAATGAACAGGTGGCTTCAAAGGAACAAGAGAGGGACATTCTCATTTTTTTTCTACCCCTTTCAGAAAAAAAAAAATGAAGTTTCATTCTTAGTTACCTCTCTTTGATTTGCACGGTAGGAGGAAATGCCAAAGACATTCAACCTAACATCATCTGCTTCAGAATCCCATCCAAATGTCCCACTCCAATCTTCCACGGTACTTGAAGCCACATTATTGGCCTCACTTCCAGATTCCTTACACGCTTCCAGAATAGCACTCAGCTCCGATTTTCTCTCATACAAATTCTCTTGCCTCTCAATCAACGCCCTTATTTGTTCTACACAGACAGATAATGGTAATTTCAAATAAAAAATTACAACAAATTGGTCTGCACCATTTGGTGAACATAATCGTTTGGATGAAGCGCAACTCTTTTGCTTGCATTACGGTGAAAACTATAGCGATAAAGTTAGCCCAGTAGGCATTAACATCGTGAGACTGAAAGGATTGGGGAAGGAGCACCTTGAACATCTTGAATCTCGACCTCGACGTTGAGTAGCTCCTCTAGAATCTCGTTGCTCTCCATCTCGGAACAGTGCCAGTGCGAGGACCACGCAAGACAACCCTAAAAGCCGACTCTCTACACCAACGCCATCCTTTGCTGCGCAAAAATATCGGAGTATCTGCTGCAACTCTCGAAATTATACCTCTAATCTATCCTCTCTTTTTTTCTTACTTGTTTAAATCTAAAATAACTTTTTTTTTTTTTTAGATTTTTTTTTATGATTTAAAAATAATATACCTGTTCAAATGCATTTATCTGATGTCATCTCGAAATAAATATTTAAAAAAAATATAAATATGATGCTTGCTTGATAATCAACCTATACAAATATAAAATTAAGGTGAATTACTAGGTTTTACTCTTGATGATCTTCATGCAACGTGACGAAAATTGACAACAAAATATTGCTTGACATTACATGATAACTAATATTTTGACGGTTTATCCAGTCAAAATAATGTGATGGGATAACAGAAGGTATATGTGCATAGTATTTGAATATTAATTACAATTAGAAAATTTGCAAACTTAAACTATTAATGTGCATAACATTTGTATTTGTCTTTGTAATTAGAATAAAAATTTGTGATGTTATTGATGTAGTTATTTAACAAATTTCATGAATAGTATACATATATAACAGTATCACATCAAACAAATGTTATATATGTTAGTAAAAGAAATGTGCCATCAAACAAAATGTTAAGAACAACACAATGTGAGTAATGGAGATTAAAAATAAAAAATATTTATGTAATTTATGAACAGAAAACAAAAATTATTAAAAAAATGAAAATGATATATTAAATGATAATATAAAATAAATATGAAATTAACTTGTAAAAAAATTATTAAAATTGAGTCTCATGTAGTTTATAATTACATGGGTAAATTTATAATTAAAATAGTAAAAATATTTGTAGCAAAACGATTTTTCATTAAATTTGAATTTGTGTGACATAAAATATTAGGTCGTAGTAAAAAAAATAAAATCCATGTTATAGGCTAAATATTACATGAGCATGACAACTAATATATAAAGTTTTTATTATAATAATTTTTTTACTCTAATATGAAACTTAAAAATGTTATTATTACTATTAAAATATTTAAAGTTTAAAAATTCTCTAATTTTAGACTAATCTCAGTACAGTTTCTCTTTTATTTTATTTTGTGTGATATTATTCTTGTTCAACGATATTTCGCAAGTCTATAACAAAAATGTCAACAAATTCTTCTTTGTTTGGCTCGTATATAACCTTTCTTCTTTGATTATCTTCTTTCTTATCTGTATCATGTTTCTTGGTAAGTAATTCCTCTTTTTTTTTTTTCCTACTAAGAAAAGTATATTGATTTTTTAATAACTAAAAAAGCTATCATGGATGATTTCAATGATAAAATATATATATATATATATATATATATATATATATATATATATATTAATGTTGGTATGGTTTTTCTAATATATTCTCAAATAATTCATTTTAATTGTGTAAAAATTTTAACGCATGACATACAACAAAAATCAGAAACATTCATTAATAAGAAAAATATCATATAATAATACATCAATAATGTAATAAATTATCCTAATATGTTCTTTCAACTTCAATGTGAAGTTACCATTGATGTAATATATCAATTCTGTTTAACGGTATTCATTTTGTACATTGGTTGATAATCAATTTATAAAAGTGAGAAATACATAAATGAAAATATTTTTGAAGATATTCTTAATTAATTTCATCAGTACATTGTCGTCTTTGTGTTTACTACTCCTTCACTGGATGAACTTTATAGGGTAAAATATAAAACAAATTATTACATAGATTTTAAAAAAATAAATTCCTTCTATACTTTATTTTAGTCTCATTTTGATTATTTTTTTAAAAACTGAATAAATATGTACCTTTCCTCAAATCTTATTAAATCATGCTCGTCAAAGTAATATTGACATAAAATAAAATTAGTATAATACTTTATGTCGTCTTATTATATATGTATATATATATATATATATATATATATATATATATATATATATATATATATATATATATATATATGACATATAGTTAGTATGACACAGACAATATAGATTATAAAATATATACTCTAATTATTAGAATACTTTTATATTTCACTCGTTTTAAGTAATTTTTTTCAAGTACTCTCTTAAACGTAAGTAATTGAGAAGTTAACAACATTTTTTTTACTAAATATACATAGTTAAATATTTTTCAATCCTAAATCTTTAACAAGCATGAACAATAATAATATCAATTTTTTCAAGTTGATATACTAACATTACTATCATTATTGATAAAATATTATATATTAACTCAAAAGTTTTATATTATTAATATATAAAATTATGGAAAGTTTTTTAAAGAATATATTAGCATGTAATTTTATATTATTAATTTATTAAACCCGAACTGCCAAAATTAGCTTGTGACCGGGGAAAATTCAGTGAGAGCAAACCGAACCAGAAACAGCCCTAGTGCTGCGGAGTACCGGTTGCAGCATCGCCGAAGCCGCTACCCTTCAATCTCTTCTTCACCGTCACATTCTTCTCCTGGAACGCCATTTCATCTACCACAATCTCTATCAGGTTCCTTCCTTCTTTCATTCTTTAACGTCACACCGTGGAATAATGGAATTGCTATTCCTCTTTGCAATGCCAGCGTCGTCTTTAGTTCTTCCCTATTTAGTCGCCAATTGTAGTTTGGATTGTGCAATTTCGTGTAGCTTTTTTTAGTCAACGTTATGCGATTTCCTTGAATTGAGTGGGTGAGTGAGCGAGAGCTAACTAACTCGTTCTCGCTACTGCTTTTACCGGCTTTCTGTTATTTCCGAATTTCATTCATCTCAGTAAAAGTATTTTCATGATTATCTTTTATTTTTATTGAACTTGAGAACAACTGTACAGAACACTTGCTTGGTTGTCACTAGGGCTATTTCTTTTATGTGCAGAAGAAAGGGGGTTGCTGAGAGGCTTGTATCCTAAATGGCTAGATCTAAACGACGACGGTCGGGTATTAGTGGTAGCAATGTCAGACCGAAAATGATTTTTGAGCCAATTCTGGAAGAAGGAGTGTATCGTTTTGATTGTTCTGTAAATGATAGAGCTGCAGCATTTCCCAGTATTTCTTTTGTGAATAGTAAAGACAGAGACACGCCTATCTCTTCTGAGAAGGTTCCTCTGTATACCCCTACGTTTGAGATTCGATTAGAGCAACAGATTGCCAAACTTGAGGTCAGTTACTTTAATAACTTAAATCAAATTTCTATTGGTTGTCAACTTGTCATCTTAAAATGTTGATTATCTTTTTTTTACTGGCGTATTTTGCTTCTCATGCCATTTCCCTGGCCTTCAGAAATTGATTGAATTTGTTTCTGAACCAGCTGCCTGTAGGTTCCTCCCTTTATGGAACTGGAGAAGTTAGCGGACAGCTTGAGAGGACGGGCCAAAGAGTTAGTCAATCTCATTGAATTTTTCCTTTTAGAAAGATTTACTTGTTATCTGGGTACCATCAGTTAAATTTCACTTGCAGGTTTTCACATGGAACACCGATGCATGGGGTTATGGACCTGGAACGACATCCTTGTACCAATCACATCCATGGGTGTTAGCTGTTCTTCCAAATGGTGAGGCGCTAGGAGTCCTTGCTGACACTACAAGTCGCTGCGAGGTGCTGTAACATTTGGCTTTTTTTCATCCATAACCTTGAAGAGATGTTTATGCTGTCATATTAATCTGTTTGGTGATCATTTGTTTTGTTTGTAGCAGATTGATCTGAGGAAAGAATCAACAATACAGTTTGTTGCTCTATCCTCATACCCTGTCATTACATTTGGTCCTTTTGCTTCACCCTCCGCAGTGTTAATTTCTCTGTCAAAAGCAATTGGTAATTTTCTAATAAAAAGATAATTATAATTATTGTAGCTCCATCGAAATTATGCCTCTTCATTTTCGTTGAGGGATTCAACATATGGAGATCTTATGCAATAATTTTGTTTATAAAAATTGAAGTCTGTCCTCCCTTATTTAGAGTAGTCCATATCTATTGAAGAACCTGGTACCTGTAGTTGACCCACAATTAATATGATTTCATATAATAACATATGTTAATGTTTTACGTGTGTACATGAACATTTGTTTGCGATATGTATAGTATAGTATGCTTTTATTATACTTGGAGCTTATGAAATTTATGTATAAGACATTATCAATCCATATATTCATAATATTATGCTTATTTATTTATATTCGTCAAATAAGAAAGCATGCAATGTCAGTTTACTATTATCTTTTGTGTTTGCTATAAATTTATGTACAAGGTTCAACAAGGGATCCTTTTCAAATTAAAATTTCATACATGTATTAGGATGTGAACATTATTCTGCAAAACTTCCAATTTTTTTTTTCTTTTTTGTCAGGAACTGTATTTATGCCCCCAAAATGGTCTTTAGGCTATCATCAATGCCATTCGAGTTATTTATCTGACCAGAGAGTTCTGGAGGTACTTGGTGTTTCTCAGTGTGTTCCCAGTTCTTCGTTTCATTGCTATATATATTTTTTTCATTTTCTATTTGTTTTTGGTTATCAAAAAATGAAATCCTTTCAAGTTATATTGATATACCTGTATTTTAATATGTAAGATATCTGGGAATTTTGGATGGGATGATAACAAACGTATGCTTGACATCCACCAAGATAATATTTAAGCAGAAGAATCTGTCAGGATATCAGATTTCTTCATTGTTGGGCATACATGGGCATCTGAGATGATTAGATTTTTTAGCATATAAACACAGTTTAACTAATGCATTTGTAATTGAATATAAAAATCCATGCACTGAAAAATGTAGTCATTACACCATAACACAATCTAGGGAATTTGTAATAACTTGCAGCTCTCATGCTAAACATTGGTGACCAGAATTTTCATGAATACCGGATAATTTGGTTTATATAATGTAGACATTCAAAATACCTAGGAGTTTAGGAATTCTGGATTGCTATCAACTTTGTTTTGTACATTCTAACTTCATTGGTTGTCAGCTATTCCATAGCATGTTTGGTTTCGATTTGGTAACAATTAAAATTTGCAGGTTGCAAAAACATTCCAGAAGAAGTGCATCCCTTGTGATGTGATATGGATGGATGTTGATTACATGGATGGTTTTCGTTGTTTCACATTTGACAAGGCATGGTTCTTTTCTTTTTACCCGTGGAAAATGATCAATTATTAATTTACATTATCGCAATTTCTGATTTTCAATTATTGTAATCGTGCACATGAATTGATTTAGTGTTTGGTATAAGTATTCCATGTCTTGTGTGTCATAAATTAAAGTGATGTATGGCCTAGTTAATATAATATAAATTTATTTTATTGGATAACATTGGTTGCCTAACCTGCACTGGTAATTTTGAAAATGCTTAGATAACTTTTGGGTTGATCCCATTTCAGTAAGTACTTGATACTTTCAGGAGCGTTTTCAAGATCCCATGTCTTTGGTGAAGGATCTCCATTGTAGTGGTTTTAAAGCTATTTGGATGCTTGATCCTGGAATCAAGCAGGAAGAGGGTTATTTTGTATATGAGAGTGGTTCTAAAACTGATGTCTGGGTCCAAAAAGCAGATGAAACTCCTTACGTAGGTAAATTTTTGTTTTCTTTTGCCCGTATGTTTCTGTCCTTCATTCATGGGCTCTTCTTTCCTTGCTATGATACATGATCCCATATATGCATTCTCAGGGGAGGTGTGGCCTGGGCCATGTGTCTTCCCTGACTATACACAGTCAAAAGTTCGTGCATGGTGGGCAAATTTAGTTAAAGACTTCATTTCCAATGGTGTTGATGGTATATGGAATGATATGAACGAACCAGCTATCTTTAAGGCAAGTCTAATATGCTTGGTTTCTTTTTATTTGAATAACAAAATATTACAAATCCTACTCTCTGACTCTGGATTTTTTCTCTTTCTACCTTCACTTATTTTTCCAGGTGGAAACAAAAACAATGCCTGATAGCAATGTTCACAGAGGAGATAGTGATCTTGGAGGTTGTCAGAATCATTCTTTCTATCATAATGTAATAATATACTTGCCCTTTTCGTAATTTTGGACTCATGTTATTTTACCATAAGCTTGTTGACAAAGCATATGAGTGGGAGGCACTTGGATTATATTAGATACTGTCTGCATCTTGATTCTGGTGTTTGAATTTAGATTTGTTAAGTATTTCAATGCCTTACCCTTTAGTTATGAAGTTTTGTCAATTATTATGACTGTTCACTATAGGTGTATGGTCTTCTGATGGCAAGATCAACCTATGAAGGCATGAAACTAGCTAATGAAAAGAAGCGGCCTTTTGTTCTTTCAAGAGCTGGGTTTGTTGGCAGCCAAAGGTATGCAGCAACATGGACTGGTGATAATCTTTCAACCTGGGAGCATCTTCATATGAGTATCCCCATGGTACTTCAGCTGGTAAGATTAAATTTGTTGCATGGATGCTACTTCCCTTGAGTAACATTGTCATCTTATGTTGTCTTTGTTCCATTAATTAACTTCTGCAATTTCTTGTGAAGCATTGCTGGATATACAATATATGTGATGCTGATTCTAAGTTATAACATATTGTTGTTAGCTTCAGTTTTGGAAACATTTCTCGCCCAAATGATAAATGATACATTTTAATTAGTGCTACATGATAGTATAAGACAAGATGTTTGACTGCAAGTAGCAGTCGTGATCATGAAGGCTACCTTAGATAATGTCATGGATCATCCTTTTCCATTTTCTGAGTTGTGATGCTCATTATTCTTTATGATGCTATTGACATTGGATTTTAGCCAAGAAGTTTCTTATAATTTTTGAAAATGTTGTTCAGTTCCAGAAGAATTAAGATGTGTTACTATTGTTTTATTAGTACAATCTAATATTTACTTCAAATTTAAACCTAAAACCTGAATTACAGGAAATAATATGGGTTATCTCCAAAAAATAACTCTGATGGAGTTGCAACACTGTATAAACAGTACATTGTTTTAACAAAAGTGTGTTAGATGTAATTTAAAACCATTCATTTAGCAACAGGGGGTTGAGTTTAGGGGTTAGTCTCTCAAAACGTCGTGAACTTAGGTTCAAATCTTTTCTGGAAAAGATTTCTATATTTATTGTCCAACCCTGACATGAACATGATTATCTTTGAACTACCTTTGTGAAATAAAGAAATGATAAATAGAAGCATGAACGTGTCTTCATGAAGTCCATTACTTGGTATTAAAGTCTCTATGCCGAATTGGTATAAATCCCAAAGCCTTGCTGCCCCCATTCTTCTAATAAGAAGTTGAATTTTTGTTATAATAGGTATTTGTGGGTTGTTCACTCTTCAAGTCTAAAAAGACTCTTGTATGGGTGTGTGTCAGATGTATATAATATAAACTCACTCATTTGTCTCCAGCTAATAGTTTAAGCTCTTTTAATTGTTGGTTCAAGGCATTGAATAATTACTTTGAGTATATTATATTTTAATAAGTTGCTTACCTTCTGTTCAGGGACTTAGTGGTCAGCCATTTTCAGGTGCTGATATTGGTGGATTTGCTGGAAATGCAACACCGAG